CATTTCAGGCAAGGTGACCTTCCCTTAGGGAGGGCATGGGTGCTAACCCGGCAGATGTAGGGCTCATCAGGAAATTGTAGACCAATTGCTTTAAATTCCATTCCTGGGAAAGGCTGAACCCACAGTTAGGTTGGGTGGTACATCATCTTGGTTTGCTGGTGTAGGGCTTAGCAGAGGTGACTGCATTTTGGGCCTGCTTTCTCTTTTTTAATATCTCCTTGGGCCTTGGAGAATGCTGAACTGGGTCTCTACAGTGGTGTTCAGCTCTGAGACAGTCTGTGGCTTATTCATTGACTGTTCACTGGGCACCTTCTATAGGCATCTTCTGTAGACACAGGTGCCTGTCTACAGGTCAGTGGGAGAACACAAGTGAACACAGCTTTAATCAGGACAGACTAACAGAAGTGCAGTATGCAACATAATGTCCCTATTCATCTTCTTTCTCTCCCTCCCTCCCTTCCTCCCATTTACCCATCTATTTATTCCATATACCACTACCCACCCACCACCCACCATCCATCCACCCATCCAAACATCTTTCTTCCCTTCCTTCTGTTCATCCACCCATCCACCCATCCATCCACCCACCAGTCCACCCCGGTAGTGTAAAGTGCCTGAAACTCAGCTTTTTAAAATTGTAAGTGACTGACATTAAGCTTTGGATTGCTGAGACACCCATATCAAACAGACACATGGCCTACACAATGAGACAGAGAGCCAGGCTGCCCTGCCCACGAGGGTCCCCTTTTAGAAAGCCCTGGGTGACCTACGCGATTGACCTCTTGAGTGACCCTGCATTTCTCTTCATGGGCCCTAAGCTGAGACACCCATATCAACAGACACATGGCCTACACAATGAGACAGAGAGCCAGGCTGCCCTGCCCACGAGGGTCCCCTTTCAGAAAGCCCTGGGTGACCTACGCGATTGACCTCTTGAGTGACCCTGCATTTCTCTTCATGGGCCCTAATGTTTTAAATTCACCAATAAAGAGTGAACCCAAAAAACCCTAGACTCCCCTGCTCAGACCTCAATAAAGGCAGAGCCCAGGTGCACAGTCTCTCTCCCTACTTGCCGCCTGGTGGTGCCGCACAGGCGTGCCCTGTGCCCCTCCAGGACCTGTGAGTGGTGCCCTTGCTCCTCGTTGCCCCCTGGCGGTTGCTGCTAAAGTGCATCCTGAAATCATGATAAGCACCACCAGGGTTGGTCCAGCCCCAGCGGTAGCCCCAGTGGGGGAGCCGTCTGAGCGTTCCCCTGACGCCCCCCACCCCCAGCAAGTCCACCGGCCCAGGTCAGAGCCCCAGGCGTTCCTAGCCAGAGCAGAACATTGCTGTCCCTGGGCTGAGACCTGCACAAAGTAACCCGTTGCCCACCCATCCAAGACCCTTCAAGTACCTACAGCCCTTAGCACAGGGGCAGGGGAGGGAACAGGAAGGGATGCCCAGAGTTAGGAGGCCCTAGCTGGTCATCCTAGGAGAGGCTGTCATCCCACCTGTGATGGCTGCAGGTGCTCACGTGCCTTAGTGGGTGGGAAGCACCACCCCACGGCAGGCAAGACCATCGGCTTGTTTGCCGTCTTCTGCTTTATTGACTCCAAGGGGCTGCCAGAGTATAAATAGATGTTCTTAAGCTAAAAATAGCCTTGATGATGCCATTGCCCATGCTTCTAGCTTTTGGCCTCTTTGATGGCTCTTGAGGATGGCTTCAAGGACCCTGCCTCTTCCTGCAGCCTCTCCAGAAGGACTGGCCTCTTCCTTTCCCTTTCTCTTGCTTCCCTTTCCTCCCAACCCTTCTGAAACAAACACACACACAGGCATGCACATGCACTCGTGTTCACACACACAGGCATGCACACACACACAGAGGCATGCACACACAGGTCTGGCCTGTGTCACTGGTTTGAGTTACATTTCCTGCTTGGAACGTGGGAAGGGCCCCTGGGATAAGCAGGCCAAAACTCCAAGATGGGTTGTACTCCCAGTGAGGCCTTGCACTGAGTTAGCCAGAGGACTGAGAAGCTGGGGGTGCAGGTGTGTCAGGAGCCCCGCTGCAGACTTGGAGATGAGAATTTCCCAGGAAATGCCTGGAGTGCCTGGCATGCAGTGACCCTTCAGGACGCAGAAGCGGCTGTTACAGCAACGGCTGGGCAGACTTTGGGATGACGCAGAGTCGTCATGTCTAAAAATATGACCCATGAGAGTGCTGCACAAATGCTCAGGGCCATGGCTGGAACCACACACGGGGGTCTAACCTCAGCCTGGCTGTGCCATGCTCAGTGGCCGGTCTGCCTGGCAGTGAGGGTGGGAGGTCTGCAGGTGGGCTGGGGCTGCCTTTGGAAGGGGAACCTGGTGGCTGGCTGGGGACAGCATGGGAAGACATACCAATACTTTCCACCAGATACCCTTGCATGCCTGCGGTCCTTGTACCACATGCAGGTATGACTCCAATAAATAACTTTATATTTAGAAAGCTAGTTGTAGACACCTCTCTATAGCTGGGCCACGTTTCTGTTGAAAAGGGAAAGCTATTGTGTGGCATGTACATGCGTTCTGTCACTTAAATTTTCACTAGCATGTAACAACAAAAAAAGGCGCCACTCAGCTGTGCTGGGCCCCCATGCCAGGCCCTCCTCCAGCTCGGCTCCTCCCCGTGCCCCACCTGCCCTCCGCCTGGGATCAAGGCAGGGAGTCTGGGGCAGGCTGGCTTTCCGGGCCTCCTGGCCTCCAGGAGCACTGCCACCCTTCACCCCACCCGCCCCCCAGCCTGAAGAAAGAGGCAGCAGAAGCGTGGAGAAAACATCCATCTTAGGATTTATTACAACACATTGTTTCCAAATACAAAAGAAGGGGCTGGGGCGGGAGCAGAGTGTGGCCGTGCCGGGGGGGGCCTGAGGCAGGGCGGGGGGCCCAGTCCAGAGAGACTGGGAGCTCTGGGGAACCTGCAGCCTCTCCGCTGGGCTTGCCAGCGCATAATAGGAGGAGGTGGGTCCCTTCCGGGTTGACTCCGTCACCAGGGCCCTGGCCAGCAGGAGGGGGCCGAGGAAGGCCTAGAGAGGCCTGGGGCCCAGTGCCTCCTGCCATGGACAGCAGCAGACATGACCAGCGAGGGGCTTGTGGCTGGTGCCATTCCCCCAGCAAAGGGGACAGGAGCTTCAAGAGCAAGAGCCCTCCACGCCCCAGAACAGAAGCCACGAGGTGCTGGCAGCCCTGGAGTGAGGGAAGGACAGGGGGCTGCCTCCAGAATTTTGGGGCCCAACCAGTGGCCCCAGACCACTGTCTCCTGGACAGTATAGGGGTGGGGGCGTGGAGGAGGGGACCAGTGCATCCTCCACACCCAGAGTCACCCCAGAAACCCAATGCGATACAGACGGGAGGCGATTTACATAATCAATAATAATAATAATAATTAACCAATAATAAATACTTAAACCTCTAATCCATAGATTGCAAATACAACAATGATAGCTTATTTTCTTGAAGAACAGGGTGGGGACAGAGGGAACAGGAAGAGGACTTCTGCTTAAAGGCGGGATGACAGGGACAGAGGGCTGTGGGTCCAAAGAAGAACAAATAGAAGAAACAAGCCAGAGGGGTAGCTGGGGACATGGGGGACAGGGACTTCCCCCAGCCCAGCCTGAGGACACAGTTTTGCCTGGCCACCTTCCTGCCATGCCTCCGGCCTCTTCCCAAGGTGACCAGCCCCCACTCCTAGATTCTAGGACATGTGAAAGTCAGGGGACATTTCCTGCATCCAGAAGACTTGGGTCCCAATGACCCAAGAGGGTGTAGGGCGGGGGTAGTGGAGGCTTTTGTCCTGCCCTCACCCTCAGGCTGGCCCACCTGGGCCAAGAAAGCACCTGGGAGTGGGGACTGGCATGTCATCACCTTAATAGACATAGGGGAGACTCTAGAGAGGAGAACCCCCTGGGAAGGCTAGGGAAGGGGCTTCTCCGCTCTGAGCCCCCATGGGGGTGGGGCGGACGCGGGGACACCTCCTGCATCTGCTCACATCAGGGGCCTGTATTTTCCTCGGGTGTGGCTCTCCCAAAGCTAAGGACTCCAGCACCTGGAAGCATAAGCGCCTGACAGGTTACCTGCCCCCCTCCCTCTGCAAGGCAGACACTCCGGAGACCCCTCAATCTGCAGTGATAGACCCGAATGTCCAGTCTGGCCTGGGGTCCTGGGCTGGTTGGAGGAAGGACCTGGACAAGAGCTGTGGAGCCGGCGCCGGCAAGTGCCAGCTACCTGGGGCTGCAGACCCTCTCCTCCTGCTGTTCACCCCCCTGCCCCACTCTGAGCAGGGAGCCTGAGGGGGTACCCACAAAGCCCCTCCTCTGAGCAGCTTTGCTGAGCCCCAGAAACTGGACCCAGGCTCGGGCAGGTGTGGGGCAGTCCACCTCCATCCCCACCCTGGGGACCCACACCACCACACTCAAGAGCACCCTTCTCCAAGCTCCCACCCTGCTCTGCACCCCAGCCCCTCTGAACACCTCGACCTCGCTAGGCCCAATGCCAAGCAACAGGTCTTGGGGGGGTCTGGCAGTGGGGTGACCTCCATGGCACCAAGATCTGGTGCCTCAAGCTGGTGAAGGGCTGGCAGAGTCTCCTCTGCCACAGCCCAGCTCCTGGGGACACCTCCTCTATATGGCTTTGGTGCAGAGGCTGAGAAAGGAGCAAAGAAGGGTGGAGAGGAGAGGTGGGCAGGGGGGTGGGGCAGGAGGTTCTGCGGCTCAGTTTGTGGCAAAGATTTTTTTCCTTTTTCCCCCTTTTTCTTATGTAAAAAGTGCATGAAAGCTTGGCAGCCTCTCTGCAATGGTCAGCAGTGTTTCCTAGGGTGGGAGGGGGTGGGGAGGGGACCCCAGGCTGTCACCCCAGCTTGGAACTGAAGGTGGCCTCATATTGCTTAGAAACGTGTGTTTCAGCTTAAATACCAGACAGTAAAAATAGAGCTCTGAGGACCGCCCGCACTGTTGCCAAATCATTGCCAGAATGAACAGCTTAAATAAATAAAAAATCGAAATATTTACTTCTTGATAAAAATCGCAGTAAAACCATTTACCTTTCTTTGCATTATATATAATATATATTTATGGTGGGCCCAGCTGCTGGCTGCCCGCCGTGGGAGCCAAGGCTAGAGGCAGGGCTCCGGGCGTTGGTTCCCGGCTGCCGTCAGGACACCTCGATGACCTCCACGCTGCCCGAGAAGCTGGCCTGCTTGCCCAAGGCAGCCAGCTCCTCGCCGTGCGCGCGCCCCTCCACCATGCCCTCCTCGAACTCCATCTGGCAGCTTCGACGCTTGAACTGTGTCTCCGGGGCCGGCTCGTCTGGCCAGCCGGTCCGCGCGTCCCGGGGCTCGGCCCTTGCCGCCTCCCGCCGCCGTAGGTCGCTGCCGCCCGTGCCCTGTATGCCCACCCGGCCGAAGGGTGCGAACCGCGCGCTGCCCGCGCCCTGCGCGCCCTCGGGGCTGAAGCACCAGGGCCCGTCAGGCGACGGCGTGCCCGGGGAGTCCAGCGGTGGTGCCCAGCCCCCAGGGCCGGCCGGCTGGCTGGGGCCAGGCAGCCCGGGCGCCGACAGGGCCGACAGGCCGTGCCGCGGAGTCTGCCGGATGGCGTCCCCAAAGTTCAGGGCGAGGCCGTGTGCGGGGGAGCGCGCCGGGGAGCCCGCTGGAGGCCTGGGTCGACGGCGGAGCCGCGGACGTGTCTCCGGCGCATCCGGGCTGTCGGGGCTGGGGGAGGGCAGGCCCAGTGCGCCCCCTGACGGGCTGTCCAACTTGCAGAGTTTGGGGGCCTCGCCAGGGTCGGGGGGCCCGGGATCGTCAGGCCGCCGGCTGGGGGCATAGGCCGACTTGATGTCCAGCGAGAAGGAACGCTTGAGGCGGTTGGTGTCCTGGAGGCGGTCGGAGGAGAGGTGCAGCCCGCGCAGGCCCTGTTGCAGCGCGCTGGTGGCGGGCGCGGAGGAGGGCACCGGGGGCTCCCCGCCCACGCTCGGGGAGCCCTCCCTGGCCGCCGCGCTCCCCGTGGCAGCGCTCTCTGAGGTAGGTGGTGGCAGCGGTGGCAGTGGGGCTGTGGGGCCTGGGAGGGGCTCGGCCATCCCCGGGTGGGGCACCCCATCGCCCTGCAGGGCGGCCAGCAGCTTCAGGCTGCGCTCGTACTCCAGCAGCTGGCCAAGGAAGTTGAAGTTGGGTGAAATGGATGGGCGCCGGTCCTTCACGAACCTGAGGGGGAAGGCAGATTCACTGGGACAGGGCTTCCAGCCAGGCCAGGTTGCGCACCGGACTCCCCACCACACCCAGTGCCCGTGCCTGGGCGTCGCAACTCCTGTGCAGACCCAAGGGTGCTGGGGCTGATCTGGGGACTTTCGCCTCCCTTGCCAGCAGCCAAAGTCAGGGGCCCTGAACCACGGAGCCACTCTGCTGCCAGTGGGTGGGAGGGAGGGTGGTCTCCCGCAGTAGGGAGGTGGGGGCTACCTGTAGGCGTCATCCGAGGACATGCCCATGGTCTTCATGATGTAAGCGATGGCGATGGTGGCAGACCGGGAGATGCCAGCCAGACAGTGGACAATGACTTGGCAGCTGGACAGCTTGGCTTTATCTGGGGGCAGGGGTCCGTGGGGACCAGGTGAGGGCTGGGGTTGCAAGGTCCTTCCCTACCCCAGCTACTGCTCAGGCCCGTGTTCCCCCCACCACTGCGTCCTCACAAGGCCCCACCCCTCCCCAGGAATGCGGGCAGGAGGGGCGCTGTCCATCTCACCGATGAACTCAATGGACTTGTCCAGCCAGGGCAGCAGCTTTTCACAGTAGTTGTCGTTGATGGGAATGCGCATGAAGCGGCTCTCGCAGATGAAGTCCGGCTTGGGGCAGGAGTTGCTGGCATTGAGGACGTAGCTTATTCCGTTTTGGGTCATCAGATCCTGGAGGGGAGGACAGGGTTGGAAGGGAATGTAGCTATGCAGGACCTCAGAATCCTGGGATGATCTTGAGGTGGGGGCCTGGCTCCAGGAGTCTCAGAATCTGCTGGAGGGGCTGGGCCCAGGGTCCCCTCCCATGCCCACCACGGAGTCTGAAGGCCTCCTGCCGGTGGTGAGAGATGCTGGCCTTCTCATGCCCCACCCATAGCCTGCAGTAGGCTCTCAGGAATTTTAGCGCTGGCGGGCTGGTGGCTTTACCCTCTTTCCTCATCACCATTTTTAAAACACAGGATTCTTTGAGCTCTGGCCAGGGGCCCAGTGACATCAGCAGTTTGGCATGTGGCTCTGCCTCAAGGGCCAGGGAGTTGCTTCTCCACCCAGCCCCGCCAGGCCCTTCCCCCAGCCCTGCTCTTGTCCTGCCCAGGCCCCCTTGGGTCCTCCTGGGCCCCCAGCTATGCTTCCCCCACACCTGTGCTCACCCCGTTCCCCGCATTTGCCTTTAACTCCCTTCCTCCCCAAGACCAGCTCAGGCCTTCCCCTGGGGGCCAGAGCCCCAGCTGTGCACACACCTTGTTCAGGACATCTTTCTGAGAGCCCAGGTAGAGGTGAGGCAGGATGCGGGTCAGGCCCACACTGGGCACGGGCAGGCAGGGCTGGGAGAGGCTCATGGGCAGCAGAGCAGCAGGCTTGCCCTCACAGAGGCCGGGGAAGCAGGAGGAGAAGGTGGCAAAGCCGCCTGCAGCGGGGAGAGGAGAGGAGATGAGTGTCAGGCAGGCAGCTGTATGGGGCAGGAAACAGATCCCAGGGCGCCCAGCCACCACCTGGACCCCCAGCCTGATGCCATGCCAGCAGGCAAGCGCCTGGCTTGAGCACCTGGAGTCTTGCTGGGTGCTGGAGGGTCGGACTCATGCCAGGGATGAGTGCTGTGCACTTACAGCCTGCCCCTCTGCCCACATTCCTCCTCACGCTAATTAGGGACGCCGCTGGGATGCCCGTAAATGTGGGGCTGAGGTGGCTGACCGGCACATCACACGCAGGGCCCAGGCAGGGAGGCCCAAGAGGCCACAGGGGCTCCTGTGGAGGGTGTGGATCACACAGCCCTCCCGTACCTGTGACCTGGGGCCAGGCTGGGCCTTCCATTCCTTCCCCTGGGCTGATGCAATCCCTCCCTGCCTCTAGTTGGCTGGGAGCCCCAGGCCAGGCTTGGGTGCCAGGACCAGGAAGCAAGGGCTTCTGAGGGCTCCCCTCCCCTGGGTATGACATCACCTACTGGAACCAGCCTCTGAGCTCTGGCTCCATTCCGCCCAGCAGAAGAGGGAGGCTGGGAGGCTGGGCTAAAGATCTGGGAAACCTGTGCGAGCGCTGAGCATGCAGCGCAGGCAGCAGGCACATGCTCTGCACATGGCTGGCATGTGCCCTGCCACCTTCCCAGTAGAGCCAAGTCCTGGCCATGGGTCGGAGGAAGGGGCCTCCATGCTGGCCGGGAAGACCCCTGGGGGATTCGCCGGTGTGTCTCTCACAGTCAGTGACCACGGGCAGAGCTGTTTACGCCTCTGGCCTGTGTCCTTTTTCTGCCTGCCACATGGCACTGTTGTTGACGGGCCTGCCCACACCCACGGCAGGTGACCGCTGACTGAGACCAGCTCTTGGGCGGCACCTGGGGCCAGCGGGGTGAGGTGAGCCCCGGGGCCGACCACACTTCTGGGGACAGACGCATGCCACATTCCCTGCCCTGAGCCCAGTGGGCTGCTGTTTCCAGGCTCGGTGGATGGGTCCGTTACATAAGACAGCTGGGCCAAGGCCTGCCATACCCCAGAGGGAGTGAGGCTCATCTCAGGCCCCGGGACCCCCAGAGCTCTTTCCTGTCCTGGGTTGCAGACACAGCTGGTGCCAGAGACCTGGCTGATTCCTGAGGACACAGATGCCTGGTGGGCTCAGCCTTCACCCCTAGCCCGCTTAGGGGCCATTTAGTGCAAACTCCCAACCAGAAGGCCTGCCAGGTGCACTCCCTGTGCTCCCAGAGGCGGCTTTCCTTGGGGGGCCATGGAGACAGGGGGCCTCCAGGCTGGGAGAATGGAGGCACCTGTTTGGAGGAGAAGCTGCTCCTACTTTGGGTGCCTGCTGGTTGGAAAGGGAGGTGGCTGTTGGTACCAAGAACACCACTGCTCCCAGGTTCCCATGTGAGGAGGCTGAGCTGGGCATGGGGTCAGCTCCTGCTCAGTTAAGAGACGGGGCACCCCTTGCTGTGCCTACCAGAGGACAGCCCCAGGGGAGGGGCAGGGTCTGTGTGATCTCCCCAGGACTTCCCTCTACAGTAGGCCCCCCTTACTCTGTTCTCTCAGTGGCCGGACCAAAGCTGGGGTCAGGGGTGAACTTCACTAGGAACCCCTCCCCCAAAGGAAGTCTCCAGACAGGCGCAGAGACCTGCCAGGCTTTGCCCCAATTTCTTGTGTAGGGAATCCCCCTCCCCAACCAAGGCAGAGCCAGGCAGCTTGGGGTGTCCCATGGAAATCCCCGATAAATGCCAGATCTGCAGCAGCAGGCCTGGACCCTCTGCAGGTCCAGCTGGCCCCGAAGTGTGGGGAGGGGTCCTACTCTCTGGCATCCTCAAGGGCACCTTACCTCAGGAGGGACACACACCCCTGCCCCCACCCACCCTGCTTCCGCAGCTGCCCCGCCTCACAAGGAAATCTGATCCACATAAAAGCACCTGCCCCATGCCTCCCCTGCCTGGGCACTCACAGCACTGCACAGGCCGTGGCCAAAGACTCGCTCCTGTCAGGGTGCCCATGCCCACCCTCTGCACAGCAGCCGCTGGCGCCTGGGTCTCAGCCAGGGTCCGGGGCTGCGTGCCCAGCCCAGTGACACCACCGGCCCACATTGGGCAGACAGCGCGCTGGCCGCCCACCGCTTAAAGGGCTAGGCTCCCTTTCCCATCGGGCCCCTGACAATGTCACCTGCCCAGCAGCTAGTGGGGAAGGGGGCAAGGGTTGCAGCGGCCCGTTCATGGACCCGGGCATGGCGGGTCCTCACGGGCTCTCCCTTTCTGCAAGCCTCCCTGTCACAGAGAGGGGTCACCCTTCCCTCCAGCCTCAGAGGGCTGCTCAGACCCGCCCACCAAGGGGTCGGGCCCTCAGGCTCCCGACTCCCCAGTGCTGGTCTCCCCAGAGTCACTTTCTGGGCGGGCAGCATCCTCCTGCCTTCCCACTCCTGCTGCTTCAGGGGCTGTGTGTGCCTCGGGCAAGCTGTGGGCAAGGCCAGGATGGGGCGTCCTCCTCATATCGTGGGAGCCCATAACTTCCTGCCCTGGTCCTGGGAGAAATGGGGGCAAGTGCTCAGACCACTGTAGGGTGGGGCAAAGAGGACAGTAAGAGCAGCTGGCAGCTCCAGGGCTCAGTGAGCCTGGCGGGGCACAACCAGGGCCCAGGGGTACTCTCCTGGTGCATCCCAACCCAGGCCTGCCCCAAGTGCTGGGGGTGGGGGGGTCCCAGCCTCTGGGGGAAATGGAGTATTAGGGGCTTGGGGTTTTCCCAGGCAGCCTGCGGGGAAGGAAGGGCATTGCTCTGGGGCCCTCTTATCAGACTCCCTGAGGGCCTGGTGGGTTCCCACTGCTGGCTAGAGCATGTGCATGGGTGCGCATGCATGTGTGCGCACACACACACTCTCTCTCTCTCTGGGGTGCCCAGCCGAGCCCTGAGAAGGTTCCTGTTCTGCCCAGGACACCTGTAGAAAGCCCAGAACTTCTACTCTTTCTCCCCTCTATTTTCCACCCACTCATCCCCCAAAAGGACAATATTGTGTGCTGGGACCACGCAAGGCAGGACACACAGCTGGCCACCAGCCTCCCAGAGCCACACAGATGCAGGCACCCTCTGACCACACACAGTCACACACACGTGTAGAGTGCAACATGTATGTCTGCACACAGTGTTCATACACCACTAAGCCTCTTAAATGCCCTTCAGGGCTGGCTCCTACGGCACCTACTCCCAGAGGTCTGATGCAACCAGCCTGGCTGAAGCCATCGGCAGCTCTCATAGGCTGTGCTGAAGGCTGGTGCTCCCACTGCATGCCAGCACCATAGGACCAGCTGGCACCCACTGACCCACCACCCTGTGCCTGCACACAGTAGCTGCTTGGGACAGGTGTGCTGAGCGAACAGTGCTGTGTGGCAGTGGGGGTCATGAACAGGCTAGGGGCAGGAGCACCCAGGGCAGGGAGGGGGCACATCCCTGGGGCAGGCCAGCTCCACCTAGGCCCAGGATCTGGGCCACCTCGGGAGGTAGAGTCTACAGAAGCCTCAGCCTGGGCCTATGGAAGGAATCTGCAGAACCAGTGTGTGTGGAGGCACACGTGTGTGGGCATGGGGGCTTCCCAGCAGAACCAGTGTGTGAGGAGGCACACGTGTGTGCACATGGGGGCTTCCCAGCCTGTAGGCTGGCTGGGCTGCCTTGGGAACAGGAAGCCCTGGGGGCACTCTGCTGGCCCCCAGGCAGGTCGTGATCAAGTAGGCTGTCTCTGGGCATCCTGTGCCTAGCTGGGGCTCTCAGGGGCCCTCCTTGTTTGGTACCAGTTCTGTTCAGACTGGGGTTTCCAGAAGGTAGCCTTGGCCTCCTCCCCTGGCCCTGGTGGGGGTTTCCAGCAGAGCAACCCAGATCCCATCCCCCAACCCCAGACACAGGTGGTATTTTGGGGGTTCCTCCCATCTGCCTCTTCACATGCTAGTGGTACGGTTGGGCCCCTGTTGGAGGGGGGCGAAGTGTGGGGGCCCAGGGGAAGGCATGACGGAGTCTGAGAACTCCAGAGTTGCTGAGACCTCACTGCCCTGCAGACACTGGTCTCTGGGTTTGGAGGAGAGCAGAGCAGATACAGAAGCCCAACTCCCCAGCCAGCCGACAGCGGGGCCAGGTGCTGGCGGCTCACCTGTGAGGATGGCCACGCTGGCAAAGCAGCCATCCAGCTTGCTGAGCAGGATGGAAAGGAAGCTGTCCGCGGCAAGCACACTGACGTCCCTTGTGCTCTGGTCATAGACAACCACGTCCTGTGGCTCCGTGGCCTCCACCTACGGGCCGTGAGGGCAGAGGTCAGGGCACTGCCCTGTACCTGATAGCCACCGCCATCCTCTTCTGCGTCCACTGCTGCCATTGTACTGCTTTGGAGGGGGGAAGGCACCCAGCCCCCACCTCCCAGCTCCCACCTGGACAGGTATAAACGCCCGTGGCCACACCTTTGCACACTCATGAGTGCAGAGAACAGACAGGTGGGCGTTCACGGTGGGCCAGGCCCTCAGGGACAAGACCACGGCGACATGGCTGGCTGCTGGGGTGGCCAAGGCAAAGGGAACCCTGTCCTCAGGGTTCTTGGGAGGCATACTTCAGGGATCTTGAGGGTGGGGGTGCCTTTGGGGCTGGGCTCCCCTGCCCCCAAATCAGGAGGCATCAGTGGCAAGCTGGGGTTCCACGTGCCCTCCTCCTGCCCGACTGTCGGGCCCTGTGGCCAGCATGGAGCAGCTTTTGCTCTGGGAGCGGCTGATGCCCCCGACCCCACCCCACCCCTGCATACTCAGCCCTTAAGCTGCTGAGCAGCCAACCCTGGGATGGATGATGTCACCAGCAGCCAATGGGATCACGCTCTGCCCGGGAGTCCTCGCAGGGGGTGATTAATCACTGGATTCCCTCCCTCAGGCTAAGGGGAGCCCTTCTGGCCTTGGGGTGAGGGAGCTTCCAACAAGCCTCGCCCTCCCCCGCCCCGCCCCGGGTCCTTGCATCCAGCTCTGTGGGGGCAGGGCCTGAGCCCAGACACCCTGGCTGCCTCCGGGCTGGGGCTTGTCATGCCTACCCAGGTCACTGGCCTGGAGGTTCCTCTCCAGTGCTGGGCTTGTTGGTCTGGTAAACACATGGGATTGTCTACTGCGGATAACCCGAGACATTCTTGGGGGGCCAGGGAGCATTTTGGGCTGCTCAAGACCCCAGAGGAGAAAACCCAGGAAGCAGGGGACCCCGACTGCTTGGCATAAGCCCCTTGGCCACCCTCCTGTCCTTTTCTGAGTCTGCAGCAGTGTGTGCCTGCACGGCTGCCATCCTGTCCACTGCCACTCTGCCACCTGCACCCCGTGTGTGGTCACACCTTGCTCATCCACTGAGGACCCTTCTCTGAGCCCAGTGCTGGGCCCTGGGGATGCAGTCCCTCTGGGTCTGGGGAGACACTTTTGTGCACCCTAAGAGGGAAGCTCAGGAGGAGGGGTCTGACATCGGCCTGAAGTGTGGGATGGCTCAGAACCTTCTGACCCTGAGGAGCACACTTTGGGTTTGGGAGTGGAGGAGGACAAGGCTGCCTGAGCCGAGGGCCCACGTGCACTTGGCAGAGCTCAGTCCCTGGCTCTGAAGGTGACAGGCACCTGACGGGAAGGCAGTCAGCCGCACAGAATGGATGGGCACGGAGGCCGGGTACCTGGCTGCGTGCAGCTGGCTGGACAAGCTCTGCGATGGTCACCTTGCCCTGCTGCAGCCGCCGCTTCACCAGCTTGGAGCAGCAGATGTTGACAGAGCTGAGCACGTGCCAGCTGTTGTATTCCACAAAGGAGCGGCTGTCGATGACCAGTGGCCCCCTGGGCCCTCCCCGCAGCAGGCTGGCCAGCTTCTTAGCATCCATTACCTTGCGTGGAAGCCGGTCCCCGGCCATGGTGGGGCAGTGGACGGAGGGGAGGGAGTGACCCCTGAAGTGGCCAGGGGTTGCTCCGATGGCCTGGGATATGGCCTAGAGTTTGGGGTGTCCAGGCATGGTGCCAGACCTGCAGGGAGAGGTGGACAGTCAGCAGTGCTGCAGGTCCTTGGTGGGTACCTGCCCAGCTCCCTAGGCTGGGCAACCTCAGGGGCCGGTGGGGTGGGGCCAAGGGCACCTGCACTTGGAGCCTGGGGTGCACCTGTGGGGGCCCTTCCCTCCTCAGGGTGAATTGGCATCCCCTCTAGCTCTTCCACAAAAGTCAGCCCCCCTAACATCTTAGGTGAGTGAGCTGAACTATGACCTGTGGAGCCGGAAGGGTGCCCAGCCCTGCTCTGTCCATCACGGTCTCTCTGTGGCACACAGAACAGCAAATGGGGGGACACAGTGTGGGAAGGGTCTTAGGGTATGGATTGGGTTGGCTAGGCAAGACAAGGCCGAAGGATCCTTTCTCTGGGCCCTGGGGTCCACGGACCCTCACTCATTCCAGAAAACGCCATTCTGCTGCCGAGGCCTGCCAGCCCATCCCCAGGATTCTCCCTTCTCTGGCCTCTACATCTTCCTGATCCCCAGGCCCCTGGGAAGGCAGGGATCCGGACCATTCCCTTCCCCTGCTCCCCAGCCCCCACCCCTTCCTGGCACACCCACCCACCCTCTCCACCCCTGCAGAGCCCAAGCGCTGGTAAGCCATAACCTGGAGGGCACGGTGCTCTAAAAGCTGACGGTTCCAAGGCACAGCACCCCAGGGGGGTTTAGGGCTGGAGGTGGGGGTCCTCTGCACCTGCCACTGTCCCCGGTGTACAGGCTAAGGTTCAGCACACCCGTGTGGCTGCTGAGTCCAAGGCCTGTGATCAGTGTCTCCTTCCTGCAGGCATGGCAGTACTGCAGTATGCTCCAGGCACACTGCAAGCCCGAGGTCTAGGCAGCCCTATGGGGGCTGGCAGAGCCCCGTACTGGGCGGAGTGGGTAGTGCCCAAGGATGAAGGTCAAAGTGGGTGACCCATATTTCGGCCCTGCAAGAGTGCTTGGACTCAGCATGGCCTCTCAGGGCCCTCAGGGGAGGGGAGCACAGAGAGAGAGGGAGGTGGGGATATGGGGACTCCAGAGCCCCAGGTGGAGGCCCCTCTCGTGGGCTCAGTACCGAGCCTCTACCACCCCCAGCCCACCTGGCAGGCCCTATCTCCCCTGTTCCCTGCCAGGCCTGGCCTTTCTCTAGGCCCACGCAAGCCTCACAGTCCCAGGAGGCATGCAGTATCAGGTGACACGTTTACCTTGAAAATGGGGAAACTGAGGCTCAGGGAAGGAGTGGGACCAACCCAAGGTCATCCCAAGGAGAGGGCAGACCCCAAGGCCTCTTCTGGCTGCCTGTTGATCAGGATGTTCTCTCCTCTGAGTACCGTACTTGGGGGTGGGGGAGGCTGGGAGACAGATGCACTTCCAGGGCCCACAGAGGGCATGGGGTAGGGTGCCCTGAGGACACGTGTCATGTCTGTGATGATGCCACCAGGGACAACAGTGGCAGCTGCCATGGCTTCCAGACCACCCTCAGGTGACTTCTCAGGCTGCAGGAGGTGGTGGTGGAGCTCATGGGTAGTAGGTACAGGTGTCCACTTGATCTGCCTGGCACTGGGGGCCTGCAGCTGAGCCCCCAGAGCTGGCACCAAGGGCAGTGCCCAGGATGGCCTTGGCCAGCAGTCTCCCATTCAGACATGCTGGTGCTCGGGGCTCCTCCACCGTAGGGGTGCATCTGGGTTGCCTCTCTGAGGGCCCCACCCAGCAAGTTCAACAGCAAAGTGGCCCACTGCCAAAGGGGGTCCCTACCTGCCTGGGAGTGTCCTGCCTGCTGAGGGGGTCCTACCTGCAGAGGAGGGTCCCCACCTGCAGGGGTGGGGTCCTGTCTACTCAGGGTGGTCTTTTTCGCAGAGGGAGGGTCCCCACCTGCCTGCTGAATGGGGCCTCTTCTGTGTGCTGCTGAGGGGGTCCCTGATTTGATTCCTGTAAGAGCTCTCTTAGGAAACTTCTCCTGAGTTCGAACCTCAATCTTGTCAAGGCTGTGATAGGCCATGGCCACCAGGTTCCCTCCCACATAACACTCCTGCAGGCCTGGGCAGAGCCTCCTGCCCTTGGACGTGGGACCAAGAGCCCAGCTCAGAGGCCCTGGAGAGGGGTGCACTGGGGCAGGGCACCGTGGGCCAGCCCCTCACCTCCTCACCTCAATGTCCTCATCAGTTCAGTGGGGGCACGGGTTATCTCCCACCTAAAACAACAGAAGCCAAACAGAACTTTGGCACAGGGATGAGGGGAGAGAGTGCTCTCACCCTTGCTGCAGCCCCTGGCACTAAGATGCCCTCAGGTCCTTAAGTGCCAGGAGGCCCAGAGGGGTGCCCACGCCATAGATAGGAATCCAGGCGGGAGGCCTGGCTGGGAGGCGAGGCCTGAGACCCAGAGAAAAGAGTGAGGGCCAGGGCAAGCCGCGCTGCAGGGCCAGGCAGCTGGAGGGGAGGGTAGCTGGACTCCCAGGCACAGTACCTGGTCCGTGCCTCTGGAGGAGCCCTCCAGCTCAGCACTATTAACCACTGTGGTATTGTTATTTGCAGCCGAGGGGGACTCATTAGCAAGTTAGCACCTCCGTCGTCACCATGGCAACAGCAGAGGTGCCAGGCAACCGCAGCTCCTGCGGCAGAGCCACGGAGCTGGCTCTGCAGTGCAGGCCCCTTCCTTCTCTGCCCGCCCTGGGCCTAAGCTTCCTCAGCTAGTACCAACTGTGCTCAGGCTCACTAGGGCGGCCCACCGCTCCCACCCCACGAGGCCAAGGTCTGGACCAAGCGTCCCTCCTGCAGGAACCTGGTGCACTGAGCTGGCTCTCTGGGAGTGCATCCTCGCCCACAGGGCCTCCCTGGACCTAGAGCTGGTAGGCAGCCCCTTCCCCTCTTGCCTCCCGAAGATGCTATGGATAAGTGCCTAGAGCAGGGGGGCTAAGGGTGGGGGCTGCTTATGACAGCCTCGAGCAGATCACTAGGACTGGAATAGGCCAAGAGGGCATGGAGCAAAGTGCAGGGTCTCAAACCTCCCCACTTTCAAGGACACATCCCAGGCCCAGTCCAGACCCCCTTCCTGGGAACAGCACCCATCACGTGCTACTCCAGGGCCTGGGTGTGGGCGGAGGGAGGTACAGCCCCATGTATCCCCTTTAAAGGCCCAGAGCTCAAGAAAAGGCACTTTCCAGTGGGGCAGAGGTGGCACCCTGTCCCTGGCTGGGCAAAGCCTAGGAGGCTACAGGCAGCTCCTCCGGAGGGGGCCAGCTACAGGACACAGCCTGGCTCCCTAACTGCAGGGACACAGCTGGACAGGCCCCTCTGCACACTGTCCACACACTGTCTACTTCTTCCCCACAACTCATCCCACCCCTGAGTGCAATTACTCACACAAATGTGTGTGCATTGGACACATGCATCCTCATTCTCTGCATGCCAAATCCCCCAGAATCCTAGGACACCCAAACCCCAGGGGCCAGCTCCAAGGCCTCCTCACTGCTAGCTCCCAGGGCCTCCACTGTCGGGTCCCTGAGCCCAGGCACAAACAGGAAACTCCCAACTGTTGGTACCCTCACCAAGGTACCTTCTGCTTAGCACCCAGTGACAGGGAACTCACTACCTCCAGAGACGGCTGCCAGGACTGCCAGTGATGCATGGACGGGGACTGTGGCTCTCACTCAGAGTGGTGTCCTCAGCTGGAGTGGTGCCTGGCACACATAGGCAGGAAAAAGCTGGCAGTGGAGGGATCCAAGATACTGAGACATGCAGCTTACTGTGATGACCCAGAGGTGCCTCTGGAGACAGAACTGCCACATTAGGAGGCCAGGAGAAAGACTGGTAGGCAGTGGCCTCTGGGAGGCAGGGGGCCCAAGTGTTCACAGCGGGCCAGCTGGCTTTACCTTCACCTGCTCTCATCAGGAACCCCCAAATGCTTGCCCCTGTTCCCCCTCTCAGCAACCTAGGGAGTGGGACAGGACCCAAGCTGGCCTTCCCTCTGCCCTGGTGGGGCCAATGGCAGGGCTGGAGAGCCAGCTCTGCCCTGGGAGGTTGGACCCGGGAGGCAGTCGGATGGGCACACTGGCTCCTCCATTCCCAGGGGTCTGGGCTGAACCTGGGGTGGGTGACCTTCCCTTGTGGGTTCTTGAAAGGGCAGGCCAAGTACCCTACAGATCTAAGTTTCCTCTGTTCCTGCCTGGCTTGTTCTAGCCCCACTGATCTGCAGGACCTACTGGTCACTGTCCCTCATGTTGCACACCCAGGCCAGGCCAGGGTGTCTCCCAGTCACTGCCCCCAGAATACCCAGGCAGCCCATGCAGTCCTGTAGTCAGAGCCTGACCCATGTGTCCTGTGTGGTAGGTGGTAGTCTGACCCAGGTGTCCTCTCCTTTCCCCATAAGCTTGTCTTGGAGATGCAGCTGGGACACTCGCTGGCTTCCCTGGTCCCTCTGGTTGAAATCTCTGGGCCCCGGGGTCAGCCTCAGCCAGAGGAGAGGAGATTCCAGGTAAGGTCCTGGGTCAGAAAATCACTTCAAGCATCTTTCTATATCTGTGTTCACAGAACCCACTGTTCCTGGAGGCAGCCTCTGGGGACCGGAGCCTCCCCAAGGGCTCAGGGCAGCAGGGGACTAGAACCTGCCCAGCAACTCTCCCAGGGCTGACTGCAGCTGGAGGTATTTCAGTGAGACTTCGGGATGAACTCTCAGCTCCTGGTCATATGATCTGCCCATCCTTTGTGGGTGCTTATTAGCCATCTGAAGAGTGACTGCATGGGACATCTGCCCTCCCCATGCAGGATGGGGGCCCTACAGCTACACTCCTCCCCCGAGACTCAAGCAAGAAGGTCTAAGGGAGCTGATGTAGACCGCGGGGCAGGAGGCACTGAGCAGGAAGAACAATGCTCCCCTGGCCGTAGTCCCCTACCTCCACCCCAGGCTGCACAGCAACAACACTGCAGCCACCACTCTAGGTCCTGTCACCGCCCCCCCTTCACCCGACAGAGCCCCCCTCACCCCAATAGTTGTAGCACCCCGGCCCATACAGAAGCAAGAATCTCTCCGCCCTGGCAAGTCAGGAGGCAAATTTTCCCCCAGGGATGACCTGCTGGGGGCTGGGCCCATTGTTGCCCCCTCTCCTCCGGGCCAAACTATTAAGTAGTCCCCACCCCAAGGTGGGCAGAGGGCCTAGGGAGGCTGGTTGCACTCAGCCTGGCAGTGCCAGCCCCTCCCCCAGCACCCGCCGCTGCCTCTGCAGCAGACTGGCGGATGGTCTTTATTCTGCAGACGCCAGCTGAGCACCCCGAGGTGGGGGTGCCCGTGGCGGCCTGGCCAGACCGGGGGATGGATCTGCAGCCCCTCCTCACAGGACACGGGATGGCCCTTTCCTGAGCCTCCCAGAGGCCAAGGCCTCCACATTCCCGCAGGCCAGGCAGGGACTACCTTCAATTCTGGGCCCCAAAGGGTGACAGTCTCAGGGTGTCTGGGGCTCACGCAGACGTCCAGACCTACCCACGCTGGATCTCAAATGGCTTTCCTGGGTCCTTATTACGTGCCCCTTCCCCCACCCAAATGAAGGGACTGCACGGAGAAAGGCGGCGAAGCGGTGGCGGGTGTGTGCTGGACCAGGGTCCCCTGGGCGCTGCGGGAGGCGGGGGAAGGGTTTCTCGGTCCGGTCCGATGCGTCCCTGTGAGTTGGGGCCGCTCACCTCCCGGAGGCCTCCTCCTCCCGGACGCCCGCCAGGCGCAGGCGTCCGAGCGCTCCCGACGCGGCGCTCACCGGGCCGAGCCGTGCGCACTGGCTCAGCGCCCGTTCGCCCCTCCCCGCCGGCGTCCCCGCGTCCCCGCCGCCCCGCGTCCTCTCACCTCGCTCTCGCTCGCGCCCGGGGCGCCCGGGGGACCCGTGCCGCGCTCAGCGCGCCCGCTCGGCTGCGCCGCCCCTGGGCCCGGCGAGGCCCCGCACAGCCGGGGCAGGGGCTGGGGGAGCGCGCGGGCCGCGTCGCCGCCGCCGCCGCCGCCGCCGCTGCCGCGGGGAGCGCTCGTTCGGGCCGGGGCGCGCGCACTGCGGGCGGGCACGCGCACTCGCGGCGCGCATCCCACCCTGCGGCTCGCGGGCGCGGCCGGTGCGGGTCAGGCTCGGCTCGGGCTCCGGCGTCCGGGCAGAGGAGCGCGGAGCCGGCTCGGCCGCCGCGCGGCCGGAGTGACAGGCCCGGGGCGGAGGGCGGGGCCGCCGGCGGGGATGAGGTCATGCGGAGTGAAAAAGGCCCTGACGTCACCTTCAGCCAATCAGCTCGCGCGGCTCGGGGGCAGGTGACGTCAGCCAGAGCAGGCTCCGGGTGCAGATTCGAGGCGGTGGCTGCGGGGGGCAGGGGCCGGGCACACCGCTGCCCTCCGCCCTCCGCCTTTGCCTGAGTGCCGGCTCTTAAAGGGGCCGCGCGGCGTCCGTGTCCCTGCCTGGGACCCCCACCTCCAGGAAGCCTTCCCAGCCCCCGCGTGTGGCCTTACCCAGGATCCCCAGCTTCGCCGCACGCACACCCGCCGAGGGCCTGGCTGACCCGGCCCCGGCGCGCGGCGGGTACTCTCGGAGCCGGCCGGGCCGGAGCTGGAGCCGCCTCCACCCGCGCCGCAGCCTTTGTCCTTGCGGGGCCTACCGCGAGATCCCCGGTGCTGGGCCGCGAGCGCACAGCGCGAGCCAGGCGCTGCGGAGCGCTTACTTAGCGTCTACGCTTACCCTCTCCACGACCCCTGGAGGTGGGAACTCCACTTGACTTGGGAGGAAACGGGAAGCTCAGGCGAGGTAGTCCGCTTCCTCATCTGGTGCGGGGTGAGGGGGTCCCTATTGCAGCGCTGTCTCTCCCAGCCCCGCAATGACCTGCAGCCCTTAAGGCTTACAGTGGAAAGCCGCTGCCAAATAGTTCACCTGGGGCCCATCTGACGGTGCGTGCCGGCCCCCATAAAGGCTGATGAGGGTCCACCCCCAGAGTGGGAACAAACACAGGTAATTACACCTTGGGCGAGTATCGTGTCTGAAACAAACAGGGACCAGAGACACACAGGAAACGGTGGGCAGTCCGGAGGCCTCCCCAGGAGGTGACCTGCGAGCAATGACGGGAGGTTGAGGAGGCATCTGTGGTGCAGGAGGGTCACCCCAGGCAGGAAAGACCAGGCTGTCCCTGGACCAGGAGCAGACCAGGTCAGAACGGGGTGAGACATCAGAGAGCGCGCACTCATGGACCTAATGCTCTATCCAGTATTCACTGAGTGTCTTCTCTGGGCCAGGCCCTGTGTCAGGCACTGGGGACTTAGCTCTGAGAAAGGGGACAAAGACCCCTGCCTGGGGAGTCTACCTTCCCTGGGAACCTGTGATGGTAATTATTTTGGCAGGGAGGTGTGACCAGACAGCCTAGACATTTCTAGAACCCCTCCCCTGGGGCCTCCCCATGGAGCATGCCTCCAGCCATTGTAGGTCTCCCAGGGCCACCCTGGGGCTCTGGGGGGTGCACCCCTTGCCATGGAGGGAGGGAGGGAGGGAGCTGGGAGGCAGCTCTCAGCCATCAATTGTTGAATGAAGGGTCACAAAAAATGAAGCAGGCAAGGCCAGCCTTGGGCTCCTGGGCACTCAGGTCCCCAGAGCTGTGTGTGGGAATGGGGGAGGGCACTGTGCAACCTGTGGGTGCTCAGCAGGGCCCCCGACCCTCCCTTTCTGAAACTCAGTTTTGGAAACTGGGCTGTGCTGCATTCAGCTTCAGAGTTTTGAGCACAGTAGGTGTTTTAAGTGCTTTGCACACAGTAGGTGTTTACTAAGTGCTTTGTGCCTCTCCCTTGCTGGCCTAAGGAAAGTCTAGGAAGGTGTGTGTATGGGGCCTGTGTATGGAGGTGGAGTGTTGTCCTGGCTTGAGGCCAGCACTTAGGATAAACAAACATCTGGGGAGAGGGGGAGTGGTCCCAGAAGGAAGTGCTGGTGACCAGGGACTATTTGGGGCTGGGACCTTGTGTGGGTCCTTCCTCTTTTCCTGCCCCGCTAGCTCTGAAAGAGGAGGACCCTGCTGAGAAAAGAGGCCCTGGCCAGAGGTGGACCCTGAGCCTGGGGAGATGCCCAGCCCAGATGCATGGCCAGGTCAGCCACAGGGTGGAGGATGCGGCAGGGCCATGCCACATTTGGGCTCCTGATGTCTGAGAAGTGGGGGAGGATGGACCTTGGAAGGGGACAGGAGGATTTGGGCTGAGCCGGTGGTGCCAGGTGGCCAGAGGGAGAGCCCTCCTTAGGGAGCACATGGACAGACCCTGGGAAGGGCCTGGGACCTGAAGGTTTGGGGTCATCATCAGGTAGAGCAGCTGGGTGTGTTCCTTTGTCAGGTCCCTAGGAGCCCTGTGGACAGGACATGGTGTCCAGGTGGGGTCCTCTTCTGCCTGCCTCAGTGCTCCCAGGTCAGTGCCTCATGTGGCTCAGGAGTACCCTGGGTCCCTAAGAACTCTGGCTGTGACCTGGGCAGCTCCTGAGACTTGAGTAGGCAGCAGTAAACCGAGGGTGGGGGATGGTGTCCCCAGGCCCCTGTGGAAGCCACGGGTGGGTGGGAGGTGGGGCGGAAGTGTCATGATCATATTATAATCCTAACGGTCATTTTTCTGTGCAAATGAGCACTTAAAACCTGGGGTTTTGCCACAGTGGCGCGGAGGGGTAGGGTGGTTCCCGCTCTGGCGACTTTTAAGGGCCACCAGCTCTGGCCTTAGGTGCTTTTCAGCCCAGGGTTCTAGATCCTAGCTGCTCCCCTCCCGCCCTGCACCCTGCCTCCCAGCAAAAGGCCGGCGGGCTAGGCACCTAGCCTGGGGCCCTGAGTCCTGGGACCACGGCCCCAGATCAGACCGCTGAGCACAGGGGCCAGCCTCTCTGGGCAGATGGAGGGGGGGGTTTGCAGGCGTCGCTTGGGGGCAGCGGGTTTCGGTCTGTCGGTCGGTCTGTCTGGCTGGCTTACAGATCCCCAGCGGGGCCTGGCCTCAGGCAGGCGCCACCGTGACAGGCGGAGCAAGGTCCAAGCCCAGCTCCACGCTGGGCCCCGGCTACACGCAGGTGACCGCGGCCACACCGGCCCGGGCAAGGGGACGCTGCCTCAGAGTCCCTGGGGTGAAGCAGGACCCTGCGTAGGGCCAGGGGGGCGCCAAGGTCGCGACTGGGTCAGGTCGGGCCCACCTGGGCCCTTTGCCTGGCCGGCGGCAGCGCCGTCGGGCGCCGCGCAGGTGGGAGCGCAGCCGGGCGGTCCGCGCGCGCCCTCTGCCGCCCGCCTGCGCCCGGCTCGCCGCGGGAGGTCGTTTGCTCGTGCACGCTTTCTGTGCAAAGAGAAAAGCGAGGTTCACTTTTTCTGGCTGATTTGCAATTTTGTGTTTCCAGTAATGACATAGTAAACACGTGTCCGTGGCATCACATTGCCCACCGCCTGACTTTTTCTAAGTCAAGCTGATAATAAAATGCACATCTCACGTGCTCAAGCAGATGAGTTTTGGCAACTGTATACACTCGTGTTATCACCACCTACAAAAAGACAAGGGTATTCCAGTCGCGCCAGAAATTTCCCCGGCGCCCCTCTCCAGCCAATCCCCCCTTCTGAGCCTGCACCGCCGGCTAATGCTGCCTGGTTTGAACTTCACAGAAAACACAGTGTGTATTTTTTTGTGTATGTTTTTTTTTCACTCAAGGAAATGTTTTCGAGATTCATCCAGATTCTGCTTTCCCACAGCAGGATGATAAACGTCTACATGGTACTGTATTTTATGGATGTATGAGGACATTTGAACCAATTCTCTATTTTTACATGTTAGATTATTTCCACATTTTGGATATTAAAAACACTGCAGCCAGTGGCACCCTTCTATATGCTTTTAATAACACATTTCAGATTATATCCTTTCCTAGTTTTTTATTATGCCGTTAAAAAAGCTTACAAACAAACACAGAGAAGGGTATAACAAACACAAGGCTCCTAGCCCCACAATGTCAGCAGTTTTAGAGCTTTGCTTCAGGTTAGAAGACAACCGTGTGGATCTTGATGGCTCTCCACACCCCTCCTGCCCCCTGTCCAGAGGCGGCCCTCATGTGTGATGGTGGGTGTCTTCCCTGGGTCTGTCCTCATTGCTTCCCTGCATGTGTGAGTCCCAGGTACAATAGGCAGTGTTGTCCTGTGTGAGCCTCAATGATTACATGCAAGTATCATAGTGCAACTGTTGTTTAATTTGCGTTTTTTTCACATTCTTGTCTGTTTATCCTTATTGATGCTGATAGGCCTCGGTCATCCATTTTAGCTGTTGTATAGGTTTCCACTGAACAAACAGACCATTTATTAGCCATTCCTCTGTGGATGGACATTTAGCTCGTTTGCAAGTCGTTCTCATGAAGCAGTGCTGCAGTGAACATACTAGCAGGCATCTGCTCATGTGTGTAACTCAAAGCCGTTCCCGACCACTGTTTTGGGACTCTCAGCCCCAACCCCAAGCCTGTTGAGCTGGAAGTGGACACTGTGTTTTAACAAGTCCAGGTGATTTTTATGCACATTTTTTTGTTTTTCTTTTTCCCATCACTTTAGTTTTTACCATTATCATTTAGTAAAATTGATATCATTTAGTAAAATTGACTTTTCTATTGCAGTAAGATTACATAACATAAAAGTTATCATTTTCACTATTTTTGATCATACTGTTCAGTGGCATTGTGCCACATATGTATAGTTGTGCAACCATCACCACCATCAACTTCAGAACTTATCTTATCCCCATTAACACTAATTTCCCATGCCTTCCCCTAGCCCTGGGCACCCACCATCCTACTTTCTGCCTCTGTGAACCTGATGACTCTAAAGCCCTCATGCAAATGGGGTCACACACTATTTGTTCTTTTGTGACCAACCTCCTTCACTTTTTACCTAGCACAGGGCTGTCAAGGTTCATCTGTGTTATTGCATGTGCCTGATTGCATCCTTTTTAGGTGAATGAATAATATTCCATCATCTAGACGGACCCCATTTTGTGTCTCCATTCATCGGTTGATGTATATGTTGCCTGCTTCCACCTTTCGGCTGCTGTGAACATGGGTGCACAGACATCTGTCTGTCTGAGACCCTGCTTTCAGTCCCTTTGGGGGCATATGATAATTCTGTGTTTTAACTTTTGAGGAACGGCTAGTCTCTTTTCCACAGCTGCTGCACCATTTTATTCCC